TATATATATATATATATATATATAGGCAAGGTTAAAGAAATGCACCTTGAGTCCTTGACCAGCTTCTGAGAAAGCTCTGTGTCCTTGTGATGAGGCTTACAGCCCCCACACTAAGGTTAAAAGAAGTGGTGGAGCAGTATTGGACTAAGAAGGCCCTGCCCCCAGCAGCTGCCAGGTATGCTTCCTGTGGAGGACCTGCTTAAAAGGAAGCTCTGGCAGTCAAGTGCAGGGGGAGAGTGGATGAGAGACTGGCTGCAAGAAGACAGACGCTGTAGCAGCTGAGACAGAGTGAACTACGGGGGAAAGACCAGGATTGTGAGTAAGATTTGACTGGGATACGGGGGACCTGACCCCTTTTCCCCCTGCTGTTCTAGGATAAAACCCAAGTTGTGGTCTGACCCAGGAGAGTTAGGATGAAAGTCAGATCACTGAGAAACCCCAACACAGACCTCCAAGTCCATCCAGATATGGAGCCATGATACTGAGCAGCTCTTTGCAAAGCTTGAACATAAGCACCAGACTCTGTCAACCCACTCAGGTCCATAGATTTCAGTACCATTTGTGGCACATACAGTGAAGGGAACCAAGGCCTCTTGTAATGACCAGAGCGTGGGCGGTCTGATCTAGTGGTCAGAGCAGGAGTTGGGATTCAGGAGTCAGGCCAGGTCAGATACCAGAAGGACAGAGTTCAAGGCAAGTCAAAGGGCAAAACTGAGAGCCAGGTGTCAGGAGGCAGGCAGGGTCAGGTTACCAGGAGATCAGTGGCAAGTAGCAAGAACAGGTATTGCAGTGGAAGCAGTCCTAAGCAGGGAGATTCTAGTTGCAAGGACAACTTCCTGTTCCTGAGCTGGATTTATATAGAAGCTGTGAACCAATCAGGTCCCTCAGCGTTCTGCCAATTAGATTCCAGGACTGTAAACCTCTGTTGGGGTTCAGCTTCAATTCTGGAAACTGTTAGTAGGTCACTGGACGGCAGGCTGGAACGTACAAGTCCTAAGAGCCCTGTGGTCTCTGATGACATCACCACCTCCCCAAGTGACACTCTCAGTGTGATGTGAAACCAGGCTTTTCAGGATGATTCCTGTGGAACACCTACACAGGTGTGGTAGCATGTACATTTTCTACAGACTCTGAAGTGTGCTCCTCAGGACCGCACCCCTCCCAGTCAACAAGATACCAGAGTCTGACATGTTTACATTTAGAGTCCAGGATCTCATTAAATAAATAATTCTTGTGGCCCTGTACCTGTACTGATGGATGAGGCAGCTGGGTCCTGTGAGGGAAAGGGTTTCTGTGTAGGGTTTCAAAAGTGATACATGAATCACCAGATTAATCTTCAGAGAGCAGGGCACCTGGAGTTCAAAAGTGAATGGATTAACCTGTTGCAGGATCTTAAAAGGACAATGGAACCAAAGTAAGCACTGAGGATATTGAGTGTGATCTGGCAATTAGATGATCTGGCACCCTTGGCAATTAGAAGAAACAGGCAGTTGGGACTAACTCCCCCTTTTATAACCTCAGAACTCTACATGAGAGAAGGGAAGTGGACCCCACTGACACTTCTCTGTAAAAGATTCTGGAAGCTCACAATAGAGCTGCCTTAGTCCCATAAGTGAAGAAGTCACTTGATGAACTGTCAGTCACTCTGGTGGCTGTTAATAGGTTTCACTGCATGATCAACATATAAGCATAATTCACAATCTGGTGTTTCATAATTAAAATAAAGGATGAAGTCTTTTTTTTAAATATCCACTTCTATTGGCTGTTAGCTAACAATTTGAGCCTGACAAAATTAACTACTGCTTCAGAGAGGTAAAATGTGACTACATTTGCAATACTGGAAAACAATTCTGTTTCAAAGTTCATGTGGATTCACAATCATTTAAGATTTTAATAAAGCTTATTTACCTTTTCGATACAAATAAAACAGAGTTATATTTCTGTCAAATAACAAGTTATCTCTTTTCTTCCCCCCTGTGATGGGGCGTCTGCCCCACACGGGACTGTAAGGGGTTAATAGAGCCCTAGGGAGGCTGAGAGAAAAGCAGCCAATAGGAGAAGGGCTATGCGGAGCAGCCAATCAGGGCCTGGCAGGCACATATAAGAAGACTGCAGGGCAGGGCGGATTCAGTAGCTGCCTGGAGCTCAAGGAGGAAAAATCAGGCTCCTAGTCAGAAAGAAAGAAGCTAGCACCCTGGACAAAGCAGTGCTGCTAGCAGGGACCAGGAGAGCTAGAGAGAGCTTCTGGCTGGCAGCTGGGCTTTGCAGGCTGAGGCCCTGAGGCAAGGGCAAAGAGGGTGCTGGGGCCACAGGAAAGTGGTCCAAGGAAAGGTACTGATGAGTTGGAGGGGATGCAGCACGTGGCTGCCATCTAAAGGGTCCCTGTGCCGGGACACTGAGTAATGGGTGGGCCCAGGTCCCCATACCCTCCCCCGTTGCAACTGGGGAACTGCTGGGACAGTTGGATTGCGGTACTGGCCCCTGAAAGGGGAGAACATAGAGCATAATACAGCCAGAGGGCTGTGTCATGAAGATGCTGCGGTCCTTGGAGTGACGTGGGTCTGGGAGCAGAAGTGATGGTGGACATGACACCACCGGTAGTGGGCATACCGACCTACGGAGCTAATCCCCAAGATGGACAGCAGGAGTCATTAGCATGGTGAGTTGTGCCCTGTCACACTCCCCATTTACCTCTACAGAATTTTCTTTATTTCTTATAAGATTGAAAAACTTAGAAAAGAGGAGCGAGGTGCTTTGGCTAGATTGAACGCCAAGTTAGAGAAGATTTCTGTTTACAAAAGTTAACATAATCGCAGTATTAGCTAGGAAGTTTTTCACAGTTGTTGTGTAACCCAGGGTGATGGTTTTCAATCTGTATCTTAAGAGTTAGCAGACAGTATGATGATGGGGGCTGTACAAGTATCTAAATGGAACACTGAAAGAAAGTGGGGTATGGGTCACTCATTATAACAGCTATTTTCCACTAACTGGTAATTATTTATTGTCTCCACCAATTCTTATTTTTAGGATTATGCTTTGAGCTGTGTAAACTGTTTTAGCAATTAAAATTGTTACCTGAGTATAATGACCACATGTTTTAGTACACTTGTTAGTCTGAAGATTGTAGTGCTGGACTTCATCGGTCCATAATTTGATGGCTTCAGTGACACCAAATAACCCGTAATGTCCAGTCCAGATATTTTCTCCAACATGTCCATAATGAGGATGGGACATAAATTTTTCTGTTAAATATGGACTATGTTTAAAAAGGCATTTTTTTGCCCATGCCCTGGCAGTCCGTGCTAAAGCTGCATCCCAAGTCTGCAAAACAGTAAAGTTGAAGAAGCTATGCATAGAGTTAAGGCACTTGTATCCATCAGACAAATTAAAGTAGAAAATGAATAGCTATATATTGAATTTGACTAAAATTGTCTGTAAATTCTGTAAAACTATACAATTCAAATATTTTGTTCCCCTTCTGTCATCCAGTCAAGCACTCCAAAATCCTGTCTTTAAACTTGAGGATAGCTGTATAGAAATGTAAACTGACTTACTCATCGGCAGCCCAGCCCCGTTCGTTCCCCTGCGGAACCCGAGCGGGACGGGGGGCTGGGTCCTGCTGCCCCCACTCCGGGGCCGCCGCGGGATAGCACCAGATGGGCAGCAGCCCAGACA